TCAAGAGCGAGTAGCAGGTGCGAAAATGTAAGTCTTGCGCAGAGCGCCGATACCCTTGGGAAGTTAAGCTCCACACGTGGCACAATTAGTCAATCTGTTTGCTTACTTTTTATGACATTATGACGTAACCGAAAGACCGTAAAAAGGACAATAATATAGCTAATACGTAAAAATTCAAACCTCAGTGATCAAGTAACCCCGTTTCAATTAATGAATACACTAGAATAAAACATCTACTGTCTTCTGTCATCTATATTCGGAGATTAGAAGCAAACTGTGATATTGTCGGCACGGTTTAGCTTTAAAACCCCACTTTATAAGCGTCAAATGACGGCTGTCCTACATCGCGGTTTTCGCAAAATAAACATAGAAACTAAAATTTGTGCAAACTATAACATTGCCCATTACATAAATGATTATGACATATCGGTAACAGGGGTTATTACAACTAAAAATAGGGTCAATATATTAAAGCCGCTGTCCAATTTCTAAATATAAAAGATACATTCAAAATTGAAATGTTGCCATCAAAGTACTTTCGTGTAGCAGTAATTGGGTAATTAGTGGCACGATAAATTTAATAAAATAACATAGTTGAGTGCTAGATGTTATCAAACAAGGCATAATTTCAGTTGGTCTGCTTTTGGAACTTTATTAACTGCTATGGTTCTGATCGTATTAGTGACGGCTCGAAAGTTGAACTATTGGAAAGGAACGATAATAAAATTAGTCGCTTAGAGTAATGCTGTTCTGTGGCTAGGATCGAACCCGTAGTCGCCTTTCTGACTTGTGGCCTTATTTAGCTTAACAGTATTGCACAACAAAGGAAATGGCAACATTTTTCGATAAGAAAATTAACCATTGAAAACAATGGAGAAGAATAACTAATAGAACGTGAGCGTGGTTCCATTACTGCGTTTTATAACGTATCCTTGATAGAAAAATTCTTCCACGGGTAATACTTTTAATACTATGGAAAACATAGAAACATTTATTATTCTGCCAAAAATAGTTGAATTAGCAAACTCATTTGATAATAGAACTACCTCCACATTCTATTGGTTACTTTAGACCTTATTGCCTTACGTTTAATTTCTTTAAAGGACGCAAGGACCTACTCATTCAGCTATTATTTCCATTGGAATAGAGAAAAAGCCTAAAATTTGAGGCACTACTGTAGGCAAGATAATCAGAATAAGAAATAGCTTTATTTTAAATATGTAATTTTAAAGGTCTCTTCGCGAGACATCTTAGATACATCTTCGACTTTTGATCTACCTCCTACAGAACCCAAGATAGCATCATCCAATTAAAACTGAATCCACAATGCAGTTTATGACAAAGCTCAGATTCCGCCAAAGATTTTCTCTAATTAAACCTGTTTGGACGTCGATTTTGCTGTTTCATCACCTATTGAAGATTATTGTTACATCTAAGATGAACTAAATTAGTCTTGAACTATTGTTTTTATGTACTACACAAGCTTGTTTTCAGTTCATGTGAAATTTTAAAAAGAGAATGCAAGCTTTGAAGCTAAAGCCATCAATAAGTTAGTTGTTATGAGGATATTTAACTATTCAAGTTACTTCATGATAAGTGATGGCCTGCTACCAGTGCCACTTGTTTTCTATCCATTTTAGTCCATCATCCAACCAAAAATGAATTGCCCACCTCCGAATTTGTACCAAACCACATGGCGTGCAGTGCCGTGCCTAGCGCAATGTATGGCAAACCTCAGATTCCACAAAACCTGTTCTCTAACTGAACCTGCTTGGATATCGTTTTGGGTGTTTCTTATACCTAATGAATACTATTGTTACATCCAAGATAAATTAGCCTTGAATTATTGTTTTTATCTTATGTTATTTTAAAATATTCTAACTGTATGAGCTATAACGTAAAGCATAATAAGAATAATGATGGTCACTCGCCCACAGACAAAAGATGCCCGTCGTATTTATATTTTCAAAAACAGTATTCATCCAGAATAATGTTTTTTTGAGCGTTTAGTCCTTTTTACGTTTTTCGAGCGCAAAATTTTACATGGATAGTTACGTAAATAATTTTCAGGTTAATCATATCAATACAAATATTGCTCAATACACAAGTGCACTTAATAAATGGTTAGAATATTCTAATTTCAATATTGGTTTATATCACCTGAATATACGAAGCCTAAACTAAAATTTTTACTGTTTTAATATCTTTCTGACTACAATTAAACACAAATTTGATATTATAATATTAACAGAAACTTTGAAAATTAATGATGTATCTTTGTTTTATTTGGATGGTTATGATACGCTTTACAATAATGGTACGTACAATCAGAATGATGGGGTGGTAGTATATGTAAGAAATGATATCAACTAAAGATGTGATTTTGTTAAATTTAATGACGGTATCACAGTGTAGGAGACATGAATATTAATATACTGCAAGATACCAAATTAGTAAACAAATATGTCACTTCAATGCAGAGCAACGGATTCATATCGCATATAAATTTACCAACAAGAGTAGTCAATAATAGTTCTTGTTCTTGCATTGATCATTGTTTCATCAAACATTTTTCAAATTTCTTTCAGTACATACCATTAATTGTTGAAAACCATATAACCGATCATTTACCCACTGTAATACTTATATCATCACCAGAAAAAAATAATAGTAGATCCACCTCCAATAATGAAACAGTGAAATTTAGGTGTTTTGTCGATAATAAAAAACTACTTGCAAATATCAAATTAGAATCGTGGAAAGCAATGTACTGTGCAACAAATGTTAATGATGCTGCAAACACACTCATTGAACGCATAAAGCATTTAATTGAATGTAGTACTAACCGAGTTAAAATTAAACAATTTGACAGAAGCAGGAATCCCTGGATAAGTAAAGGTTTGATTAGGTCTGCCAACAAAAAAGAGGAACTATACAAAATAATGAAAGCATCACCGGTACCTCCCGTAAAAATAAGGAATATAAAAATATTTTCATCAATCTAGTTAGAGAAGCAAAACCCCTGACTTTGTTTGGTATCTGGGCAACCAGACCTGACAGACCTACTGACTTACAAGACTTCAACCAAGAGCAAAGGTCCTACGGACCGCTCTGACAGATAATGACGAATAGAGAAGCAAAACGCCAGTTTCATCTGAAAAAATTACGAGATACCAAATCTGATCCAAGAAAACTGTGGTCGGTTGTGGATCACTTAAATAACAAAGACGTTCAATAGAAGCCAAATATTGATGAAATTAAGAATCGTGATGGAACAATATTAACAGATAAATGACAAATAATATCCGATGCATTTATAAATTTTTTCACTAATGGTGGAGAAAATTTAGCAGCCAGTATTAAAAAAAATGTTTTGATGGACCAAAACCAAACTTCCCAATTAATAAGCGGTGGCAGAATGGAAACATCAAATATAGCCAAAATTTTCGAAAAATTACTAGAAGAAAAGATATTACAATTTTTGGATAAAAACAAAATTATATGTTCTGACTAATATGGATTTAGAAAAGGAAAATCTAATACAGATGCAATTTTGACTGCAATGGATGAAATTAACGCTAATGTCGACAAAAAAATACCTACTATTGGTATCTTTGTTGATCTAAAAAATGCTTTTGATAGGGTTAACCATGTCGAGCTACTGAAAGTTATGGAAAGATTGGGATTTAGGGGAACGTCACAAATCCTTTTAAAAAATTACCTTTCAAGTCGGGCACAGACTGTCAAAATCACTAACACTTACAGTAAAAAAATGTACATCAAGTGTGGTGTGCCTCAAGGAACAGTACTAGGCCCACTATTATGTGACTTATTCAAAATTAACAGTTCTGGAAAGATTATATGTTTTGCAGACGGCACCCTCATATTATATAAAGCTGATGACTGGAGCACACTGAAGCAAATAGCTGAAAAGGATTTTATAAGGATCATTGACTGGTTTGATACTAACATTTTAAAAGTTGACTTAAAAAAAACTAAATTTATTGCATTTACATCCTATTCAAAATTTTTACCTACCTTCGAACAAATTTCCGTTATTTATCATGGCCAAAAGACCAAAATCGATAGAATTAATTAACACTTTAAAATATCGTGAAATATTTATGGACTTACATCTAAGGTGGGATAAGCATATTAAATATGTTATCAAGAAAATTAGAAATGTTGTCTATAATCTCAAAATGCTTTAACATTCTTATAGAAAGTTATCTGCGAATCCTGTACCATGCCTTAGTTGAAACCCATATAATATACGGCATCACAACCTGGGGTGCAGTCTGCAAGACATATATTTCTGACTTCAATATAGCACAAAAAACTGTTTTGAAAGCCATTTTCCATAAGCCAAGATTATATCCGACGAACAGCTTATATCAGGAAGCATCGATACTAGATACAAGACAAGTTTATTTCTTACATGCCACCACCTTATACCATAAATATTGTCATGAAAAAAAAATCCTATAAACACGAGCATAACACACGATATCGAAAAGGCTCATCTTATATCCAAAGACCACACAAAACATTATTCAAAAAATCATTTAAGTTCTTAGAAGTTAAATTATATGATGTAGTACCAAACGAAATAAAATACTTAATTTTGGAAAAAAATTTAGACGAAAATTGAAAGACTGGGTTTGTATTGTGCAGCGAATGACTATACATAATTATATAGAAAACTAAAACTACAAAATTCCAATTATATTAATGCTTATTAGAATTAACAATAATTTTTTTACACATATGATTGATTGTTAGTTATTAAGATATAATCCACACACAGGCGATGCCTTCTGTGGCTTTTTCATATTTGTTTGCCCATTTTTTGTATTTTGGAGAATAAATATTATTATTATTATTAATACACAAGCTTGTTTTCAGTTCATGTAAAATTTTAGAAAGCGGTGAATGCAAGGTTTGAAGCTAAAGCCATCAATAAGTCAGTTGTAATAAGAACATTTAAATACTCAAGTTACTTCATGATAAGTGATGGCCTACTACCAGCGTCATTTGTTTTCTACGTCAGCAATAATTTTTCACAAACGATTGTTTACAAACATTCTCAACAACGAATCAGCAACACTTCAAAAACTCTTATACCGCCTGTATAATATCGCCCCCGCACTAAAAGCGCGCATATAGCCTAACCACCTCAGAAACGACGCTTCAGTTGCGTCGCGGCGCCTTCTTACGAAACATCCGATCACTGATCACGTAACGTTACTTTAACCGCCAAAAACAACATGTCGGTAAGTATGTTTGCCATGTTTCATCAATTTCATGGATTTTGCACAAAATTATATTGAAGTTTGTATAACCATGCCTTCAGGCTTTAAGTACATCAGTATCGTTAAAGTCAACATTTTCACTCTCTAGCATTGTATGTCAAAAGACCCGACTCATTACTTTATTAAGGGCCGCTTTCGTTATCTGTACTTGAGATACAATTACTGCTTACTGCCAGTTAAGGAAATATGTAACAATATACAGATTTGCATACGCCTCCACCATAAAAAATATATTGAGGGACACAAGTTTGTGTCGAGTACCTTAAGGTCGTTTCAACCTGTTAGCTCTCCTGTTATCCATCTGTTTGGAGTCTTTCGTGGCAGGGTTATTTTCTCATTTTCCATTATAATTTCTGTATTTCTGGTTTTCGAAAGGATTGCTTTTTTACTAATTGCTGTCATCATTTTTATAACAGGATAAATTACTTGAAATTATTTCATAAGATTAGTTATTTATCATCTTTTTCGTTAGTAGACCATGCATACGATCGTAACTGCAGAAATCATGTGTATTCGAAATTAAAACGCATGAAATGCAAAATAATGTGCTTATTTAAATGAATTTCTATATCCAAAATTGGTAATACATTTTTTAACTGTAACTAAAGTATCTCAGTATTTGAGACGTTATTAAAATTTGTTTGATCCAGTGGGAAATATTTGATAAACAATTTTATGTATTACACCAACTTGTCTTGAACAAAAACATCTACAAATAACAGGCATCACGCTAGTTTCAAAACAATTCATTTCACACCTATTTGAAGATGTATTTTTATATATATACAAAACAGGCACTTTGTACTAACTTCTTTAACATTCTTGCTGAAATATAAAAGATCCTGAAAACGTATATTCTCTTGTCAAAGGAAATGCAATCATCAGACGCCACTTCACACTTTACATCAATCTACATTATCTTTGAGTTAGAAATACGCTCAAATTGCACACGATATTTGAAAACGTAAGTTACAATCCCGTAGTCATAGTCAAGCACTTGTTTTATGGCAGGTGCCCTCTCACTGCAAGAATTGATTCAGGGGAAACGTTGGTTTTGTGCCAAATATATCAGGTAATTGTACTAATATGCATCTAGTACATTCTATAAGCATTTTTGCTTTGAGTATCTTAGTTTAATTATAATATCTCGCATTTCGATCGCGATTAGGTTTTGGCATCGACCTCCACCGTCTATTTCAACATTCTAATTTCCCAGTAATTAAATGGAGTGAAATCCTGGAACGATTTTTGGATACTAGGCTGGTTGATACAGGCCGAACATTCAGATGTTTAGTGTGTTTAAACGAAAATACACTATCGTCATAACCGAAAATATCTTGCGTTAATTTTAGTACATATGAAAATAAGAAGAGGAGTCGTTACAGTTCACGAGGATGAGTCTGCTCCAGAGATAGATTTCCTCGCATTACATAAAACAGAAGTTGTAGTTTACACTTTGAGTTTTATGTCCACCATTCTGGTTAAAAATACATGGATATACATTTACATTATACATACCGAGTACTAAACACGACTTTTCTTACTTGCTTAAAAAATTGAACTTCGGAATACATAAATAAGGCATATACTAACTCACAGGCTAACTAGCCAAAAATGGATCCAGTTTGTAGACAAGATTGTTTGGACAAACTTTACAAGGGAATTATATTTTAACGGTATATGAAAAGGCATAGGCACGTGTGACAAAGAATTTTGCTGAAAATCCATGATTAAACTGTTTTGCAATAACTAATTTATCGTTATAGCGAACTGAATAGGGCACATCGCCAATTAGAAAAGATTTTTTAAGACATTGTGTCTTTACGAGGATAAACATTTACCAATTTTTTTTATTTTTTTAGAAACGTGACAAGAACCTGGAGCAAGAAGTCCTCAACTGGATCTTCCAATGCCTAGGCGAACCGGTTCCCGCTGGAGAATTTGAAGACATCCTCAAGAATGGAGTGGTTTTGTGCAACCTAATGAACAAGCTGAAGCCAGGATGTATCAAAAAGATCCAGCCTAAAGGAACCAACTTTCAGCTCATGGAGAACATTGAAAGGTTCCAGAAAGCTGCCAAAGAATATGGACTGCCTCAGGAGGAGATTTTCCAGACTGCTGATTTATTCGAGAAACGAAATATCGCACAGGTAATTTTTATATGAAAGCAATACATGAGTTTAAATTGGCTAAGGATTCTGCTGGTCATCTCTTTTCAGAGCGGTTCATAGGATTGTTACTCTTGACTCAAGCAGCTTGTGTAGAATGTCTGATGTTTGGATAATGTTTTTTTTACATTTCCCGAAGTCGTAAAAATGAATCTAAAAAATTTAATTGTCTCAATGAACTTCTAGGTAGCCCTCTCGCTGTTCTCGCTGGGACGTATTACCCAAAAACACCCAGAATGGAGCGGCCCCACTCTAGGACCCAAGATGGCCGAAAAGAACGAGCGTCAATTCACAGAGGACCAATTGAGGGCTTCCGAAGGTGTATTGAACCTCCAAATGGGCTACAATAAAGGTGCTAGCCAATCAGGGCATGGAGGCTTCGGCAACACACGCCACATGTAAAAAATAGCCATAACGGGCATGTGCATTTGATGTAATGTTGAATTTTGTTCTTTCTTCTATTAAGAGTTTAAAATACTTGGTGTTATTGTTATCTCATTATTATTTTCAGCTGCTACAGGTTCGTTAGATACTTTACAACAAGAACTTTAAAAGTGTCACCATTCAAAAGTCAAGTACATTCGCAAAGTATGCCAAGTCCGTATTATGTAAAGAGTTATTGCACTTTTAACCATATAAGCATATTTATTTTTGTAAGTAAATACTTAGCGTATTTAATGTTAGGCTTTTGTAAAGTATTGTATTTAAACTTGAAATGTATAGCGTAAATAATTTATTAAAAAAATTCGAAGGTATTCGATAGTTTTTTTATGGTGTAAATATGACATGTTTTTTTACACGAAATATTGAATAGCTCCAATATTATTACAGTTTTCATGGAAATTAAATATGTATTGTAGTAGCGAAACATTGAAATATTATATAATCCAATAATTGCTTGTGAAATTAGCTAATTCAATAGTATATTAAGCAATTACTAAAAATTATTTGGAAATAGTATAGAAGACGATAACTTACTAGGATAAAATCACAATACATTTTTATGTGCTCCAAAAAAAAAGTGTGGCTGTTAGATTGAACAGGATATAATAGAAACCAAAGGTGAAAGGAAGCATCTAAAAGCTGTATGTCTAAGGTACTTTAATTTCACAAACTGTGAATTTCGATCTTGTTTTACATGTAAAACTGTTCAAATGAATTTATCTATTTCGCAACGGCTCAATATATTTTGTGATTTTGTTCTAATTTGTACCGGTTCTAGTAAACTTATTTTTACGAACAATTTTTGGCAATTCCTCCGCTATTGACACGGCATTTTAAACATCACGTTTATTTTAGGAAAAACAACAGCTGGCAACCAAAATAGTCTATTACACTTTCATACATAGCACCCACAACAATGTTTGATTCCACCTTTTTGTTTGAACTGCTTGTGATTTCCGCTGAATATTAAAAATATTGCTCAATTCTTTTGAGCTTGTGCCAATATACCGATATCGCAATAAATTGTTTCTTCAGTGCGTCCAACAAGTTGTCTAGTTATTGCTTAATATCCTCTCAGAGCGCTCTCTACTAAGTAATTTGGTTCTTTCAAATAGAGCTGATTAAAAAAGTTTCCTGAATGAAGCTTTAAGGGCGCCCGCAGTAATTTATGAAAGCGTACCTGCTCCCAAAACTTTTTTAAGAGCAGCGGTTGCAAAATTTTCAAGGGGGTGGGTCAAATCCTTATAAACCTCAAAATTGTATACAAAGTCCTGCTAAATATGAGAATTTCTAAGGTCCAATGGGATTCCCCTCCTCTACCACCTACGGGCGCCCATGTTTAAGAATTATCAATCAAAATGATACAGCAATAATTTAGTGCTGCGAAAACTAAAGATTGCCAACATTAGTGTAGCTACGAGTAGCTAAACGAATGAAGAAAAATAAGGAAATATGAATACTTGGATATATCTGGACAAATAGAATAAGCTATGCCAGAACTGCCTTCTCACCCTCAGAGTGTGATTGGATGTCAATTGTTGTGGGCTCAGTTATGATATTGCGAAAAAAAGAAGTTATAAATCATAAAGTCAGCTCAAAAAATGTCAGCAGCGGGTACAATTTTTAAATAGTTTTAAACATCAAGTTTGGGATTTCCTCATTACCTCGACGCTCATTTGGGGTATAATTTCATTTTCCTTGATCGCTGCATGTACAGCCTTGAGGGTTGGTATCTCATTCCTAAAGAAGAATGAATGTACGGTTCGCCTTAACGCCATTTTGCTATCGTCATCCAATTTAACGGCCTTTCGTCCCTTCAAATTAAACTTTAGATCAGTAGTAGCTCCAGTTTTCTTCTTTTCATGCACCACCCTGCGAATGGTCCACTCTGGAACGCCTGTCATACTTTCACAACGCGCGAGTGCATCTCCCTGCGACATAGTTCTGTTCAGATAATTGAACACGTTGAGCACGATTTCTTTCGCGTCCCTCTTCAGTGCTTTACGAAGCCGTCTACTTGTTCCCTGGCTTTCAGTACTTCCACTCGTGCCATTTGTACTCTTCATGGTTAAGTATAACCAAAACAGTTACCACAGAAACCACAAGAATAACAATCACACAACAATTCTTATAAAAACACACAATATGCGATCGCTCAACGAAACACGTTCCAATGCGTTGCCGACGCCTATGAGTCTGCCGGTCGAGGCGCGTCTTTGATTTCATTGGTTCTACCGGCGGAGAACAATCAGCCATTATTTCCATCTCTGTCTGTGCTGTTGACCACCGCAAAGCCACAGAAACGACATATGTCGTACGCTATACGGCTGTACTGGAAGGAAGCCGGGATCGAGCTCTGATCACGTGTTGATCACGCGTATGAGTCATTACAGTTTTAAATAGTTGTAGTATAGACATTCTAAACTATTCAATATTTTCTATTATTGTCGTTCAAAACTATTGACCTCTTAAATATTAGGTTAATACGAGTACTGTTTTCATCCACGTTCATATTGAACCTCAGCAATTTGTAAACCATGCAAAATTAATCGTCGTGTTTATTTACAATGTTCTCGAATCAAGAGTTGTTAGTTTACGGTGAAGCTCGTCAGAATTCAAATCTTACAGCTCAAAATTATCGCGACAGATTTCGCCAACGGGTACACCGAGACAGAAGAACATTTGTGCAAGTTTAATACTTATTAACGGTTAGTCCACCTCGGTGGTCTCTTTTCAAAGTTCAAATCAAAAAGTGACAATGCGATATATGTATTTTACATTTATGTGTCTTAATAAACATTCAGTTTAACATATAATATATGTGGTTTCATCTAGCGGCAAGCAAAACATGGAGATTAATCAACATAAAAATTACAGGATGAGTTTCAAATGTAACCGAAATTGTGCATTATACTCCCATGACATAAAAATTCAAAACTCAGTTTGACATCAATCAAGTTATTTACACGTCATTTATATTTGTCTTCTTTTCAATCTTATATTCTCATACAATCACTACCAACAGTGTCAATGTCGTAAAAATGATAGCGGATCAAGACGGCTATTGCTGATAAAAGTACATGTGATAATTATTAGCTTTTCTTATCCATCTCTGTAAGCCTTGAACACAACGTATTACAGATAACCATTAGTGTCCAACAATAATAATAGTGATTACGGATTATTGTGTTTTAAAGGACGTTAAAGAACTGTAAAATTGGGTAACCAGTAAATACAGTCGTAATACTCCATGCGAAAGCTTCATTATGCCCATCAACAAACGCTTGAAATCACAATAGAGAGGCGGGTAAATTGAGTCTAAGAGCAATTTAAGCGTTCCTTAACTTTTATTTGGTATTGCACAGCTTTGATTTATGCGATTACTTGCCACAGTTGCTTTTGCATGAAGTTAATAATAGTTCTCTAGAGTTGACCACAAAATTTACCACAGTGGCATATAATGTAGGTCAGCCCCCCCCCCGCCGATCAAAGCTTAATTTAATGCCACCAATCAAGAATTTTTCGTTTTCAATGGGGCTAGGTGCGCTGTAGATAAAGGACATTGGAAGAAAGTATATAATAACATGTTAACCCCTATCTTCATGGAAACTACAAAAAGTATAGTGAAAAAAAACAATATTATTAACTTCAGCAGTTTTAAGTTTCATAAACAACAAAATTCATCAAAAAGTAAAACAACATGAGCACTAAAAATAAATATCACAGTCGTCTATCAGTAAAGAAGATTTAGAGTTCACGCCTACCTCACCCCCCCCCCCCTCTCCACTGAAGTCCTGTTTCCGCCCCTGAATACAAAACATAAACATGGGATTCATTTCACTAAAAGGTTTGTTTTTTAGATAGGGAAAAGCTTTTATAACCTACAGAAAGACTTAATGGAGCTGATCTATCTGAAGTTTGAGAAATTGCTCTATAATCTTTCCAAAGGAAAATGCGAAGTTCTTGAAAAGTTTCCAACGAAATATATCAATAATCATTCCGTACATTTAAGACAGTAATCTGTTACTAGTGGTTTGCATCGAATGCTGTGTTCCCATTGTTCACGGTACAAAAAACGTTAGCTATACGAATCATATCAAAACTGGAAACTGAAATCCAAACGAGCTGACCAGTTTACCTATTAGCCAATAAACCTAATCGTGCAACATATCATCTAGAAATTAGTGAAAGTGTGGAAGGCGTACCTCTTGAGAGCAGTGACATAATACTAAAGCACATGTAAGTCAGTGCGGCTGTCTGCAGAAAAGATGCAGGTATCTAGGTCAAGTTCAGCAAAGCTACATCAAAACTATCATTATATAAGAGATAGCGGAAGTAAAGTGTTTTGTTTGGAATTTTATATTTACATTTTCCCGATTACCAATAGAGCGTAACATTTTATAAAAATGAAAACGAAGTTGGTATTTAGCGACAAAAAATGATATAACACAAAAAGAACGGATATTGTTAAACATAACACATTTGAAAATGTAATGAATGCTACGAGTATATATCGGTATTTTCATGCTTTTTGGAATTACTTACATACGTCCATCTCCCTCACACAGACATACGAAATCGGCCTCTATGTTTGTGTAAGCTCTCAAATATACGCTTTTTAGTTTTGTCTCATCGCTTTGAAAATTATCTCGTCAATCTAAGAGTCGTTGTTAGCAAATAGATGGAAATCTGACGATCACCACCTACCAGTGGTTTATTTGATTTGTATCGTCATCCCGTACGATGAAGATGATAGAGATACCCTTATGCTCTCTAGATCATACCGCACGACGTTCTACGCCAAGCGCAGAGATGTCGCACCGCACAAGCAAGGTCAAAATGTCAAGTGGTCTTTTCTATGCATCTATGCACTGATGTGTGCTAATGAGCACGAAATTCCACTGTCTGTGGTTGATCATGATTCCAGGAGGCGGAAAACAAACATGTCCTTTTCAGCCTATGAGACTTTCACATTTATGCTTGTCACTGTCAGTGTGACGACTTGCTTGTTATGGACGTGCGATTTTCAGTTTACCCTTTGGTATTCTTCAATATGAAACATAGCAATGAGGATACAACTACGATATCGACAGACTGCATTAAAATTGGAGTAAATTTTCAGACGATAAGTGAAACCAATGGTCACCCAGTTCATATGTGCGTGCAGCAGTGAGTATCAGCTGGGTTATAAATCAGCTTGCATAGTTTGCAATTTACCTTAATCAGTCTTTTCACGTATTCCATATGACATTGTAACTCAACTGCCAAAAACCATGGAATTAACCACACTGATCAAATATCAATGCTTAAGCTTCAGTGCATAAGCAGTACATTCGTCATTAGGCAATTGTATTGAAAGAGTCTCCAAACTAAATACCTCAAAATCTTGCCAAAAATAAATTTGCATTAAAAAATAGTTTGTAGGAAATGATGACTGCAAAAACATGAAAGTTTATCGCAAATGTCATCAAGAGACTAAAACTCCTGCCGACAAGGCAAGAAACAGATGAGTTGATAAACGTTTGGTAACAGTTTAAAGAGGAAGAAAATTGTTCAAGTGTAATCACAATGGTCAAGAACTTTAACGTACAAACTGAGATAAAGCATATCCACTTGACTTCAGGTGGTATACTTTTAACTATACCTTTTAATCACTCAGCCATGATTAAGAGATCAAAAAGCACGAAAAGGGGGCTTGTAGTTTGTTTTGTGAATCGATACTACTACCATTCTACTAAGAACGAAATCTTTGGTCAGGGGGATATAAGGCTAAGATGATGTTTCGACAAACATAAAACTTCAAAGGTTGATACACTAATTTTATGAATTGAAACCCATTCTGTATAAGGTTCAATTTTGCGAGATACGTACAAATAATAAATGATACCTTACACAACTATACGGCATTCTAGACGGAATGTCGAAATTTTCCATAGGCTCGTATTCTCAGCTATACATATAGACCGTTTCTCAATAGTTTTCGTCGTGTCGTATACATGCATACCTACACATTTAAACAGCAAAAGCTCGTTAGTAATTTTATGCAATATCCATTTTTACGACTACGACTGGTCCAAGTGCGGTCTTGGCTGTTATGTAATATTAGTATTTATTCTGGACTTTGAAGTTCACAAGGCAATAAGCGAACATACCTTGATGCAGTTTTGTTAGAAGTATGCCTTGAGGCTAATATTGTTTTCGATGATAAGATCGTTTTGGTAGAGTGAGGATTTATATCAGATGAACAGACGCACAGTCTCCTGGTATCTCTGAACGACAGAGTTTGCTTCTATGATGAACTTTTGCATAGAATATCAATTCCCGTAGCACGGTGTACTTGGTACACCTTAAGTGACATTGGGTAGCCTATGCAGTTGTTTGTTTGTTACTGCCAACGTAAGGGCTGCAAGTCCCGCGACTGGCGAAGCTTTCCATAAACGGCGTATAACAACATTGTATATGGTTGGTTATGGTTGCAGAAATGGAAAGCAGACCCTATTCAACCACCGAAGCAGCCGCACAGTTAGAAGCCTAAATGCTAAGGCTGCTATCGAGGATCCCAAAGAAATTATGTTAATCAGATTTCTGAATTGCCTAACATTAGTAGAACTGGGAAAAGCGTCCACGTGTAGATTGAGCAACAATCTCGATACGCCAGTGACGAAGGAGCGGTCGTATCAGCCAGTTCTGGATGTACGAAGTTCGACACGGTTAGGATGGGAGGCTGAAGACAGGCGGGTCTGTCTGGCAAGCACATCGCGCGGCAACATCATGGAGGAGAGCTCTGAGGAGCAAAGCCGTCGGCGTAACGGTAGAAGAAAGCTAGATCGTCTACTGACCGCCAGTGCGAAGGATCCCAAGACCAAGAGAAGAGTTATCGATCAGACCGACAGCCCTCCTCTCAACAGCATGGAGCATGGATGAAGTAGTAGGGGCAGCTCTCCAAACATGTGAGCAGTACTCGAGGCTAGGTCTTATGTGGGTTTTGTACGGAGTGAGGAAATCATGTGGAGAAAAGAACTTCTTAGCCTTAAGCAAATAGTCCAGCTTATTCCCAGCAGCTGCCGCCATTGACTGTGTTCATGATAGATAGCCCTCGGTGATCTGCACTCCGACCAGCTGAAATGAACGGCTCTTTGCAGAACTCGGACCATTTCTCGAAACCGGATAAGCGTTTGGGCGCTTCTTGTTCATCATGGTACAGTACTGTGTTTTGAAAGCAATAAACTTTACGGGAAGAGAAATGGGTGTCAGAATACCTTACAGGTAATAAAATCTCTACAAGGTTTTAACTCCAAGACTATAAATGTTATCCACAGAATAGTGGATGACGGCATTTACTTGTATGTATTTTGATTACAGAGATGCTCAGGCCAAATTCAAGTTGACACAGTCTGCCCATTTTCAACAGAAACACCAACACCAACGGAACCCGGTGCTATGACTATTCCTAAATGACACTCTCGGTTTATAAAACTTTCTAGCAGCTCTATCGATGAAGAAGTAGCCAGTATAACCGCTCATTTGTTGCGCCCCTTTATTCTGGAAGCAATTTGATAATAGGTACTTTACAGCTACGCATAAATGCACTACCTCTTACACAATCTTACTGCAAAAATCAGCTGCATGGCGGTACTGTATCGGCTGCAGCAGCAGAACCGATCAGTGAAAGTGGTTCGGGGCACGCGAGCTTGGTTTTGGTGGTACACCGCGTGTGCTTAGCTCAGGTGCACCGCGACCACCGCAACAGGTACCAGTAGTATCTCAGCACCACCACGTAACATGACGCGAAAAGATGTGGTTCTGGCCGCGACGACCGTCATACTACTCGCGGCGTATGTTAATGCTATCTTGGATCAACAACGTAAGTCCATCTGGGACGAGATCCCTTCAACATCTACTATTTACTTGTATGTACGACAAATTGTACCCATCATCGTAATAGTTTTCATTTTTATATAATATCTATAACAACACCTTCTGATACTATAAAATGTTCACAGAGCTCATCTTTCAACTTTTAAGGAGGAATTTAACCATATTAACTAAGTCATTTTTTCTTCATTCCTACCATCTGTTACTATCTTCTTCAATATGAAGTTGCTGAATGAGTGTCATGGCTGTCTCATCTATTAAAGCAAAACATTTGAACATCAGATTCTTTTCCAATCCCTTTAGTTTTTCTCTTAGACTAACCGAAGCCTTTTTACATTTATAATCAATGCCTTCGTCATATGTTTCCAAAACATGAAAACTTTATCTTTAACTTTTTCAATCTTATTTCCCTCTTTTCAAACACAATAGGTTGGAAGCTAGTTAATCGTTGATCTGTTGTTTTTTCTTTGAAAAAAAGTATTCTCCTGATCCTAATTTGTGTAATTAAGCTCGGTTTATTACATCCCTCATACATGCAATCATATATTTTTTATTCACATATCATGCTTTGGCTTCTTCCCTGTAGCTGGTTGCAACTAAATTTTTTATTCTTCAAGTATTGGTTTCAAGTCAAAAGTTGTTGGCTTATGATATTGATGATGATGTTGTAAAGAGGAAGCTAGTTAGAAACAATTCGTACTTTTTAAAATAAATGACGGAGGATTAAATTGCTTGCAGCTTCCTATGTAAAAACCTGCAAGATCAAAGAGCCCAGAGAAATTTTTGTCAATTGTTCAACACATTCTGTACAAGAACTATTCAATTACATTCCAAAAGGTGTACCGGAGATTGGACTGCAAACGCTGGATCCATTGGAAGTACCTGTCATAAACGTAAGATGCTTATTTATCTATCTAAGCTTTCAGTACGAATTCAATTTCTAAAAAAGCTACCTGCTTTCGGTATGTGAAGAAAGTATTCCAAATAAGTATCAAAAAGACGGCAAACCTATTTTAATAAATGTGACAATAAAAAGTTGTGACTGAGTGAATAAATCCTTAGATAGAAGGCATACGTCTATGAATATTATTAAACAAGAGTTAAATACGAATAGAGTAGACTATCTACATAACAATAGCTACTTTAAACTTTTATATAAATATACCACGTTATAATATATTCAAAAGAATACATTTTTATGAAGTGAAGAAAACTTTCCCAATTCAAACATATTTCACATAAATATATATTGATGCAATACCAAGAGGAAGTATTTCTCTAGGTGATTGGGTCAATAAGCGTATAATTTCCATATAGACTCGTTATTAATGTAAGCGGTAATTACGGACAAAAGAGGGTGTCTAGACAGCAATTGAACAACAGACATAGTTAATAAAGTTGGTGGTACATCCTGAAATTAATTTGTTTCTCCAATTCTTTGTATTTTGTTATTAAAATTGCATTAAGAAATACTCAAACAATATATATCAATCTGACAGATAATGGTAGAAGCCATATAGTTATACGCAGTTGGGTAGATGGATAAATAGCTTATTCGTAAGCAATCAGATTATTATTTATACCATAAGAGTTACGTGTTCTTGACACAGATGTGAGTGGAATATTTCAGATATGCTCTCAAATGCAACACGGGTGAATGTTATTGATAGTATCTGCACGTCCTAATTCTTAAATGTTTCTTGCTAGGAGCTTGCCAATATCGTTAATAATGATCTTTATCTTCTCGAACCTAACAAAACAACTCAAGAATTCCAAATATCCTGTTCCCAGTGGGAGTTGTCTGTAGCACTATAAAGAAAGTTATATGAAAAAAATATTCTAATTTGGATCATAGAGAAGACATGACCTTTATTTTTAAATAAATATAAAACTAGAACTAACTAGATGAAAACGATAATATTATTTCACAATGACATTGCGAAAGTTGAAGTTTGCGGTTGATGACTCTTGGTTTTTATGGTCCCTGTCTTTATCCAAGTTGACGCAATGAATTTATTGCTATTTAAACACCATACACAGTATGTATGTATTATATACGTATATTCTTCTGAAGTTCATTCAAGGGCAAGTTTACGCAATATTTTCCAATGGCTGATCAAACAAAGATAAATAAACTTGAGGATATCTATAGAAAATAAGACATGCTTCACAACAGACCAAGTTCAATCATCAACAAATTACAATTTTCTTACCGCACTCATAAGAATTCAGTTTAACGTTACGATGTTGAGCATTGCAAATAAGACGTTACCCTGATTAGTGCGACTGCCACTGCTTATACACGGTGTTAAGCATGTAGAGATATTATATTGGGTGAGTTTTTATTTCGGCTCGATCCATCACGGGGTTATTACGCATACTACTACTCCTTACTTGAAAAATATGTTTATCTCAGCATTTTATTGAAAATTTCGATAGGTCCTTTGATATCGAAGCCATTTTATGTAACACACTATATGGTTTTATTTTCAAATTGTTGATGTAAGGAATAAACTGTCGAGAAAAAACTTTGACAACTCGCACCCCCGCAAATGTAATTGCTCGAGTACAGAATTTTTCATCAGAAAATTTTGTTCCCATATTTTGTGTATATGTACTTACCTTTTCAGTGTTTTGGACATTTTATACATAGTGCTCGAGAGCGCAAAATGAACGATTTCTCAAAAAGGCTGAATGGAACACCCTGTACATTTTCTCATTTCTTGATTCCCCTCTCTGCAAGCTTTTTTCATATAAGGCTTATGTACAACTAGTTTTTGAATTACAGCTAACCTTTTTGTAAATCATATATCCAGGTAGATGAAAAATATTACATTTAATTTCAAAATAAAAAATAACTTTTAATTGGTATTGGAAGGCCTTTGCAATTGGTGTATTTTTTATCAATTAAATCTACCGAGCGTCATGTAATAAGATCGAATAGTCAAGAAGGTCTCCCTGTGTTTTTTGTAACTCAAAACAGAGTCGTACAAACCCTCATAATCAAAAAAAGCTTATTGGAAAGGGAATAACAATGTAAGAATATACAGGATGCTCCATTTTGAGTAGTTTATTTTGCCTTACCTCCTCACTCTGTACAAGGCTCGGATAAGGTCTAGCCTCGAGTATTGCTCACATGTTTGGGGTGCTGCCGCCCCAACTATATTATCCAAGCTCGATGCGGTTTCGAAGAGAGCTGTCCGACTTATCGATAACTCTTCCCTCACGGATAGTTCCGGGACATTTTCGCACCAGCGAGCCGTCGGCAATCTAGAGCTCGCTTATAGCGCTTTCGTTCATAGAGCCGCAACGCCAGACAGCCCCCCTGACTTCGGCCTTCCACCCTAACCGTGTTGAACTTCGTACTTACAGAACTGGCCAATACGACCGTTCCTTTGTCCCTAGGGTATCGAGATTGCGGGACAATCTACAGTTCAAAAATCTTTTCATTCTTAGCATTCGCGGAGCCATGGCATTTACTCTTCTTCTGCCTGCGTGGCTGCTTCTGTGTAAAGACAATTGACCAACCTGTATAAACTATCCAGGAAACTGAAAAAGTAAGTACATAGGGACATATAGAATTTTTTGATGGAAAAATAGTAATAACATTTGCATGAGTGCAAGTTGTCAGAGGCAAAATCCTGTAGTATGTTTTATCAATTGGCTTCGTTTGAAAAACCCTACCCAAATCAAGTAATAAAATGTAGGGCTTTCTATTTGAAAGTAGTACATAGTTATGAAAGCCAGGTCAGCTGGCTACAATTTTTGTATTTAACCTTTTGAGATACCATGCGCATCTACCGAACCCTCACTAAGAACTCATCCTGTATGCGAATTAAACTATTTGTAAAATGAGTATGAAACGTCATAATCGTTTACGTACAGGTTAGAATAAATGATGCTATACAATGGAAATATTTAAATAAACTATCTACATAAAATGAAACATGCCTCACAACAAACTAAGTTCAATCTTTAACAACTTACAAGTATTTATTAAAAGCAAAACGTTTGAGCTATTTGTAATGTTAATACTACAAGCTTAGTTTGAAGGAAATTTACAAAATACCTAACAGATTCTAAAATTGAGATTGTTACACTGTTGGATTGTTGGATCTCTATGCAAAATATACGGATGACCATCATGCCACTTGGCACATTGAATATTATTTTATATTATGAATTCTATAGATTGTCTCGATTTTTGGGTCACCTTGTATGCATATTTCGTGTCCTTTAGATTCTCCAAGGAGGAGGAGGTCCAGTAACGGTAAACGCTTCCCTAAGCAACGTAACTGTAAAAGGATTTGGAAACACCAAAATCCTCCACAACAGTGTCGATCCCAAAACGTACGACTTCTACACGAAACTTAACTTGCCAAGGCTAAGGATAGACGGCCACTATGATCTGCTTGGAAGAATCTTGGTCATTCCACTGAGAGGTAAAGGGACGTGCTGGTTTGACGCAAGTAAGTAAAGCTGATATTATTAAGTAAGTAGTAAAAGAAAACAATCAGTATCTCTTATTATACCCTACCACTTTACTACATCATACAAGAAGAGCTTTTCATACAATGCAGCCAGACATTATAACAATCTACCAACTGATTATAATTATCGTAATTATAGTGTGAGGAATTTCAAAAAACAAAAAAATAAAAAACTGCGTCTTCTATCCACAATTTGATAACAACACATTCAACAAGTTCATTGTTAAAAAAATAAGCTAAAACTAGACTTTCTATAAAATATTTTAGATTATATTCATCACTTCATCTAGTTGCACATAAATGATATGTATATACGGGTATATGATTACATCACATACATACATAGGAATTACATATTTGTTAGAAATCCTATGTAGTACTTTATTTTTACTCGTAATTGTACATTTAATTCTTGGCTAAGTTGAGAAATACCTTATGGTAACACTCCATCACCTCCATTCTTTATAATAGAATGAAGGATGTAAGAGAACGTTTTATAAACATTCCGACATAGCTTATTCCTACTCTCTTAAAAGTTCACAATAAAGCCTCTGAATACTATAAAAAGTGCTAGCGAAACTTATGAGATAGGGAAGATAGCAACTGATGTTGATGGCAACTTAAATTATACAATATTTTTATTTATTGCATGACCTTCTCAACTACCCAGAATCTATATTGTGCTCTAGTCTAGATTTGAATTATTTCACGCCGATTTTCATAACCGAGATTTTGTTTCGAAAATGAGGTATTATAATTTTTTTTGGGTGTTACTTGATATCAAGAAATACCATGTCACTAATTTCCGTTTGTCTTTCTATTTGTCCTCTAAAACGTAACCCCTCTATAACTCTGAAGGTACTGCTCGAATTTTGATGAAATTTTTCAGCAAAATATAAGCTTTGTAGATTTTGAAAATCGAACCAGTGACGGCGAAGCTACGGACAACAAAAATCGATAAAAAGAAAAATCGCTCAAACTTAGATTTGTGACGTTTCAGACTCCTGCTCATTTTTGGAAATTGTCTTAAGAGATAGGAAATTGGGGGTGGTGGTTGCAGGTTGTGGTGGAGGATGTATCTCACTTTTTGGCGTTAGTATATTCACAAGCTTTAACCCCGATAATTCTTCGCATCTAGTAAACATATTTCACACCTATTTTCCCGTAAATTTGCCCTTAAGACAGAATTATAGAAATACTTCCATTACCCACATCGAGCGCAACTTAAGATGGAAGTTAAACCTAGAGATTTCTCCTGATCGCAACATTGTCAAATGGGTGTTGACCAGTGACTAATTATACAGGCCTATTTGACTGGCTGAATCCATTCAATTCGTTTTACATGTTCATAATCAACGTTTTTTTAAGAGAGACTAACTTGTGCCGAATATAATATTTAATGAACTGATGCACCGTTACGTAGTAAGAGCAGAGTCAATCTACTTGGCGCTATTTTTTATGATCGAATCGAGTTTCGCTAATATTTCTCGGAATCAGGCTTTCAAATAAAATATACCCATGGAGGAAAATAGCCATTCGTTTGGAATTTGGAGCGAATATACATACGTCAAAAATATGTTTAGGCAAATTGCCAAGTAATAAAATTTGTTTTTATCTCTGAGTTTTCTGATTAGTTCTGTCCATAGCTTTACTGATGGCCAAAGTATCATTTATGAAAGAAACTTATTCTCATTCTAGCTATTGGTTAGAATCCCAACTTTACAATACAATACATTATTGTGACAATAGTTTGCTTGTGGCTTGACGTAAATATTGTGTGAGATCTGATATGCCTTAAATCAGCTGTGGTTGGATTCAAGTACACGGAATTTAATGCCAGAGAAATATTCAGAGGAAATAGCGTTTCAGATTAATTGTTTAAGGATTGCAATTTGTTGTACTCAGTCTGAAAGTCGAAAAGCAGATCTTTGAATACACGTTCTGAGTTATTTTAACCCTTGAAAAAATTACTTTGACTGTATGTATCATATTTGAAATAAATTTGAAAATTGACTGCATTTCCTTATATTTTAAGTGAAGCAGTAATGATTACAGCAATCGGCACACTAATACGATATTAAGCCCAACTACTCAAATACTTAATCCATTAAATAAATGAAAAAATTTCACCAGTAGCACGACATAAAAATTTCTAGAATTGCCAACTTTAAAAGATCCAACCCAAAACAAAAAAAGTAATTTTACGCATTAACTTGATTAGTTACAGCTTTGATTAAAATATGTTTATCGCTTAAGCATTGTGGCAGATTAAATTGTGATAATGTGTAAACTCAAAATGATACGCTAAATGATACGGTCAGCCTTCTTCACACTGTATATTGCATAACCATACCTTGCGGACTATTATTCTATATAAAAAATATTCTGAATAGATCCCAAAGAGAGCCGTGGAATCCCTGGACGAATCAAATTGCTTCTTAGATAAAAGTATGTGAATATATAAACATAAAATATTTGTATCAAAATTCTTTGGTTTCACTAACTACACAACCCAAAAATAAGAGAAACTTCAAGCCAGTATCTATCCTGGAAGCAGGAAATGTTTCGTGATGTGAAACCTTTTCCACACACTTCTTGGGAAAATGTATTAAACAAAGCTTTTGTTTATTATGTAATACTAGATAATTTTTCACCGCTGAACAAAACAGAGTATAAATATAGCCCGTTCGATTTATTTTTATAATCAGTTTCGGCTCATTAATGTTTAGAAACGGATTTTGAAGAATGCATTCTACCAGATACATAAGCGTACGCGATATAGCTTTTAGAAAAGCATTTGAAAACAATTGAATCGGTCATTCCAAAATACTCACAAGTTACACAATTTGAATTTTTAGGAGACAATAAATATTGTGTAAATGACAAATTAACGTGTTTTAAAAAAACATTTAGGGGATTAATAATATATTTATATATTATACAATTAGTAATATTATTAATAATAATGGAAACATGCCGAAAAATTGTTCTTGTAAGCTTTGTAATTTTCAAAAATCCAGTGGCAGAAGAGAAAAAGGCCAAAAACGAAAAAGAGTAAAAAAAGGATGGTGAGGCGGGGAAAGAATGTATGAAGGACTAATTGTATGGACCTGTTTGACTGAGTTTTTTATCAGAGGGTCAAGTTTGTGCTGAGGAATCCTTTATGAACTGATAATGGCGTGTGGGAAGTGCAGAGTCAACCTACATGACACCATTTTTACATTCAGTAACTTTCAACTTGGTATTTAGTAGAAGTAGTATATAAACAATCAAGGATCTTGGTACGGTTCCTGAAATGAAATATTCAGAAACAACGTAAGTCACTTTACCTGACGGCTAATGAATCATTTTCACAAAAAAATCATTTAGAGAAAAATGTGACAGGTGTTTTTTTAAAATGATCGATTCAATTATTCTTATGACTTTTATATTGAAGTCATAATTTTCTTTGCTCAACTGCTTTCTTCACACTTGAAGACCGCCATATCTAGAAAGGACGATATTCTTATTTATTAATAATAGTTTTTCACAAGAATCACTTTCAACTCAAAAATAGCAACGTGTAAAAACTCCTTGATCTTTAGTTGTACATAGAAGGTGCCACTATGCCTCTTTTTGCTCATTAGATAGATGTTATCTTTGCATTATCACCGCTTTTATTTCGAAAAGCAAGACGCTTACTAGAGTTTGGTAGCCCGATGTTTGATGGTGACTATTGAAGCATACTTGATTTCGAAATGGCAACCAATCAATTTTTGTTATATTTTATGTTTCAGAGAACCTGGAAATCAACGTGAAGAGCGATGTGATAATGGAGAAACATGACGGTTTTCACTTTTTCAACGTGACAAAAGTGCACGTCAAATTTAGCATCGGCGGCCTCAAATTGCACATGGGCAACCTATTCGACGGCATCAAAGCTCTAGGTATAAACATTTGGATTTTCGCTGATTTCTGAAATAACAAACAACGCGAACGTATCATGTATCTGTGCCAAGATTTTGCGGCTCGAACCATTTGCTTCAATGTAATTTCGCGAAATAAGTTTTTGAGGTCAGGGCTGAATTAAGGGAACAGATGCATAATAATATACAAAACAATGGCATGAAACGTTTAATCCTCCACATTTTTTCTGTTACGCATTAGTAACCTTTGTAGCACGATAAATTATAATCTAATTTCACGAATGACAGCACTTTACATATCTATAAACTTATTAATTTTATCAAGTTGATAGTAAAATGATCTGGGAAGATCACGTTAAACACACTAACGTAAAACTGAGTACTGTAGTCTTCTTGGATAGACAGATTTGAGGTACTCTGATGTACATCGAACTTTATACTTCGGGTTTGTCCAATCAACTTCAGGTCTATTATGCTAATGTTAGTGCATGGCCTTTGTTCCCAAGAAATTAAGAGGTCTTTGATAATAGATATTGATATACCGTTCATTGACAATTAATTTATGAAAGCGAAAAAATAATAATTGTCATAATTGCACAAGTGAACAAAAGCAATTTTGAAGTAGATGTTCAAAACGTGCAATTAGTGCTTATAACACCATAGTTTATCAAAAATCTACCTAACGAATATGATCGTTTGCATGGTATTGTTAATAAGGTTTAATTGCATTGTTCATGTTTCACATTAATTTTAGTAAATTCACACGAACGAACAAATAAAAAACTTAATAACAGTGCATTTATAATTTTCACTTTGAAATTGCAGCTGTTAGCGAAGTTACATTTCATGAAATTAGGTCGTGGTTACTAAAATACTAAGTTAATGGAGGTGTGACAACATCCGACGATTATCCTTTTACAAAAAAATGCTGATTAAATGAGGTCATTGTAACCTTTGGAAAGTCAATTATCCTGGATTTGATCATAAAGCTTACCCTCGACAATTTTTCAAGCATAACGGCGACAATTTTTGATTGCTATTTAATGGCTTTGCAATTTTTATAGATGTAATTGCTACTATTTATTGTTGAAATAAGAACGCTGTCTGTTCTAGTTCATTTAACGTATTTTCCTATTTTGTTGCTTGTTATCTTCTAATTTTTGGTAGGTACTATGCACACGTCTTAATTTTCGCGCTGTTACCCTAAATATATATATATACAAATATATATATATACAAATATATATATATATATATATATACAGGGTGTCCGCAAAGTTGGGATTTTCCTTTTCAGAAACAACTACCTTTGAAATAACAAAGGTAATGTGTAGTGAAACGAGGGCGACCAAGTAAAAAAAAATAAAGGAAAAAGTACTCACTCTCCAGTTGACGAGAAGGGCTAAGTACGTCTCTGTCCGAAATCGTACCGCTCCAACAGAAAATGAAATCAGCTGATGAGCATACCGTTCACCATGCCAGCCCAAACATTTGCCGAAAATGTTTGTTGAAAATGTGCCCGACGGACAGCGTGCGGATTTTCTACTGACCAAACATGAGTGTTGCGAAAGTTATTCACCCCATTACGCGTGAACGTAGATTTGTCTGTCACCAATATGCACTTCAAAAAGTCCGGATTATTGTCATGTTGATGCAACAACCACTCACAAAACCGCACTCTTGCTGGAAAATCGTCAGGTTGAAGGGCTTGTACACGTTGGACGTGAAACGGATACAGCCCCTCTTCACGCAGCGTTTGCCACACTTTAGTTTTTGATACTTGCACTTCTCTAGCCACGTCTCTAGTGCTTGTTGTTTTTTGAAACGCAATCGATTATATGGGTTCGTTTACCTCTACACGCGTAACTGTAACCGTCGGTTCAAGGTTGCATACTGACCTGACACACTGGCCCCGACCCAGTTCTGCCGTCCGGTTGAGACCTTGTACCAATCGGTGATGTCCCGGGTCGCGGCTACAGGACGGTATTCAGATATTTTTGATGTTGCAGAGCCCTTTATCTCGGTTCCCTTAAGACATTGCTGTATATGGTACTAAGAAAAATTGCTTATGTTTTCAAGATCTACACGTCGTGTAAAGGAAAACCCCAACTTTGCGGATATATGTATGTTTGGTAAAAAATAAAGCTTTCGCCTTTAGTTGGGTACTTCGACAAAATTCAAGCAATGAGGACTCTTTAGTGGTTTGGCAACATAGCACAAATGTTCGTTCCATCCATCGACACTGACGCTACCAGCCTTCTGTCATCTGTCAAATGTTTCATTCTACTTATGATCCTGTGTCACACCATTTTGTGCACCATCAGGTTCTTTCACGATGTAACATGTAATAATTTAACTTTCGCTGAAAATATTTTTAATCCGTTTTGATGTGTTCCTGACATACAGCTGTGTATTTTTTATACTAATTTTAACGAATGTACCATGGATCCAGCTTTCACCAGGTTTATTTTACACCTAACTGGTCTAGACGACAATGACCACGTCTCAAGTTATATATATATATATATATATATATATATATATTGACAATAATATTTCATAATAACAAAGTACTTTTATAACTTTTTCTCTATTATTTTTAATGTTAGAACATATTATATGTTAATAAATAGTAGTAGATCAATAATTTAGGGTTTAGAGTTTTTCTGTATTATGTGTTACGGATAGTTTGAACTAGTAAAGTAAGACGCTTCAGGAGACTACAACTCGAAAAAAGTTCCTTGAGACACGCCATTTCTGTGGTTTAAAATAAAATGCCCTGTGTTGGACTACATTTTTCCTATTCTCTATTTATTTTAAGAGCAAGTTAATCAAACTGTATTGAACAGTTGTTTTTATGTTTCTAAATATCTCGACTTTATGAAGATAGTGCAAATTGAAATAAGAATATTAACTTGTAGATTTTGGCTCCTTACATTATCTATTTTAATTTTACGATTTGCTAAATCATCTATTAAAAATTTAGCGTGAAATATAAATAATGTATTTACTGTACGTCAGTCTCTAAATCATCATATCTGACAAAAGTTGTTCAGCAGCTTATCTTTTAGCGCAGCCATTAAGTATGTCAAAGTATCTGCCAAAAGTACAAAGCGGTCGTCCAAAAATATAAATTTCCATTTTATTGTAAAACTCGATATTGAAGGAAACTGACAAACATTATAGTAGAGTCAAATATATGTTACTGTTATCAGAGTACCTTTATATCTACTATTCGAGTACAACATAAATGAAGGGTACAGGGGAAAACAGATGAATGTCACATATTTCATGTTTTGTAGTAGGAACAGGCAACATGTAGTGTTGACGCAGTACAATCCCATGAGGTATCAGAAAAACGCAAAAACAATAAGTCCGTAGTTATACCCAATGGAAAACTTTCCGTGCAAGGAAAGGAAAGTCCACTGATCGTCACCGAAACTAGTAGCTACTATAACAATTTACCATACACCAATCTGGGACGAAAGCTTTTTTGGTTCATTGTTTTTTTCTTGTTCCAATTAAAAAAAAATAGATATAATTTGTTTGAGCTGTTGAGTTTAGAAAATCACCTTTTTCTCATATTCTAGGCCCTGTGTAATAAGTTTCTTGTTAAGGTTACAGATAGTAAATTTTACAGGGTGTCGCATATGACGAGTAGCTCATTTCTAAGTTCGATACCTCAAAAAAAGTTGAATTCAGCCATGTAGGCCAACACATAAAAAAATCTCAAAATACAAAAAATACAAATACAAATTTTTTCTGCTTCCACTTTTAGGCTACATTGTATATAAAACAATATTTTTAATTTAACTTTTTTTTCAATTGCTTGTAAAAGGAGCAAGCAATATGTCCCTTAGGCATCAGAGATTAATTTTCTTCCTCATTTTAACCGAATTTGAATAACTCAACAGCAAAGATAGGATTAAAAAACCTAGATTACCCATTCTATAATTTCAAGCACGATTTCACAATAAAATGACGTGGTTGATGCAAATTTATACGTAAACGTCTGGTGAAATGCCAAAATTGATTGCTTTACAGGTGGTAACACGAAAATACATTTACCTTAACAACATCCACGTGGGTAAACTGAGCAAAACAAAAACAATAGAACATGATCCATAATAAATAATAGCCGAGTTAAAAATTGGCATGTGTATTTTGCGCCCGTCTACTGAGGTTAAGATTATTTATCTTATTTATAACAATTTTTGAAAAAGCCCTCGTTTCAGGAAAGCTATTAAAAAATAATAAAATTATTTTACAATGACGTCTTAAAATAAACTGACTAGGTAGATTCGATGACAAAAAATTGTATCGGCAAGATGACTTGCTTGTAAATACAACAAGATAGGAAACGGAAATGATAACTGATGAAAAATCGTATATGCAAGTATTTTAATGGTGCTTCTATAAATATATACAAAAATATATACAAACCTAGCACCATGGTTATCCTTGTTCTACATGAAAAGACACATGTTTGTCAATCAACCTTTATCGTATTCATGTCATACTACAATATTACACTATTTTTTATTACAGAGGAATCAACCAATGCATATCTGAATGCAAACTGGAGACCTGTAGCAGAATCTCTGAACCCAATACTAACAAGGACAATAGAGGACATCATGCTCGACATCTTAAGAAAAGTTTTTGACAATATTCCAGCAGATTTTTTCCTTGGAGATTTGGATCCTTAGAAAAATTAAAATGCTATCGTAGAAGTAGTACAAATTTTGGAAGTGATAGCGACATGTATCGCTCAAAGGCATGTTTTCTCTAGAAGTAGAATATTGATTGCATTGAGGGATTTAGCAGATGAGGACGAATTTCGAAGCTTGTTTGAATTCATAAAAATTTCGTAAAAACTCAACAATGGATCCAGATTGGTACAAAAGAAAGTAATAAGACAGAAATTACAATGATTCAGGATTTATATGGGATGAATAAGTAAATTGTAGATGGAACACTGGGAGCAAAGTCAGACTATAGTTTGGCTTAGTACAATTAATTTATTCAAGTTGAAGATATTCTAAGGTACCAAGCTCATCAAATGACCTTTGTAATTTGGCATCAGAACCACCAAGTAGCATTATATAGCACTGTCCCCTCTTTCTTCCCTCTCTTTATATCTCGCGTCTCTATAGACATTTGGAAACTATGTATTAGATCATGATCAAGACAATTCATGGTTTTTGGAGTGGTATGGAGATAGATAGATGTAGATAGATGTTACAACGTCTGGCAATATTTTATCAGAGTTCGCTGATATTGTAATGAAATACTGTCCCCAGGACAACATTTTGTTAATTACAGTAATCGATCATGTTATGCTCGGTGGACTCAAAAAAGTATTTCCAAACAAAAAAATTAAGGTGAGCAAAGTCAATGAAATTTGCTCTCAGTGTTTCAGCTCTGTTTAAAATACACACCCGTTCCATTTTTTCCACCTCAAAAATTCAACTTACGATATCGTCGGTATTCGGGAATTCAAAAATAGCATCGGAAAATAAACAGTCTAGAATTAGACTGGATGAATCACATCACCCAGCACGAGTCATGATTTTTCTCAAATTTTTATTGTATACGTACGTACATGAACAACATTCATGAAAAAATTGTACAGTATTATGTTTTTTATAGAAGTAGATATATTTGTATATTTTTGTATTTAGAAATAAATATCGGTCAAAAGACAACATGATTAGTACAAGAAGCATACATGAATCCATTGAACTTCCCAGCCTGAAATATTAGCTGTCCAAAGATGCTTGCTGCATTTATAGGAGGTGTAACCCTCCCCATAACCCAGCACTTTGGTCATATTTGGTGGTCTTGAAAGCCCTACTATAAGACCTGTAGACCAATTACTCCAGAATCCAAACTTTTTAAAGCCTTCCTCGGTCTAACTTTTTAGGACATAGTGAATTGCTAGATGACCCAATATTCATATTTAAGTTACTTAAAATATCAAAATTATATCTCTGGGCAAGTTTTCGTTGATAAATAGAAGTCAATTGTAATAAACACAGGATTTGTGATGTCTATCCAAAGATGTACTGCGAAAATGCAGTTCTTCTCAAGCCCGGGTAACTGATGAGTTCACTGTAATTTTGTTTCAATATAATTTTTGTCTTTGAAGACAACGTTTTGGTTGAGTCAACTTCCAAGCTCGTATAATACTTTACGTTTGCTAGTATTATTAGTATTGGCATTTCAGGTTCTACATATAGAGTAAAATTATGTTGTGCGCTGAAAATCTACAAATTTGAGATACACGGTATATATTATGACAGGCAAACTATTATTTGATTTGTTGATAGTTTCACTAATAAAGCTTTTACTGATCCCAGGACAAAATCCTGCATACGGTTCTGTGCCGATTAAGTAATTTACGCTTCTCATCACTCAAGACTTTGACGCCCAAAATATCAAAAAACCGAACGTAAAAGTAAAAAAATCGGCACACAAGCTTTAAAATTGATATGGATCACTTTAATTCATACGCAGTACATTTTTGCTCTAGTTTATATACATATTCGTTTACTAGAAAGTGCTTTCCATTATAAAACTGCAAAAACAGGTCAAACAGCGAAAAGTAGAGCGCCTGTTTTTGAGCACGTCATTTTTTCGCGCGCTTTTGCCAGAATCTAGGATAGCCGCAAAACAAATGCTCGTGCAAAAAAGAAACTTGACCTACCTGCCACAAAGGTCTTGATGGTCCAGGCATGTTGATCTGGGATGTGAAGGTTTCTTTGCTATCACTGAACTGCACCAAATAATTCGGGATAGCTACCCGTGAGAAACTACGAATATTTTAGGTTTGCCGACTCTTATACGTTCCATTTTTCAGTGGCGTCCGGATCCGCCCACAGAATTCTATCAAGAGCACAAATGGAAATCCTTAGTCATTCGACCGGTGAGATTTGCTTTTGTTTTTGCACCGGCTGGTGACGTCTGGAGAGTTTGGCCTTATTCTGGATAGCATTTTCACTCGGAATACAAAACGATTAGTCAGCTGTATTTTTGTTTTGACGCTACGATTATACGTATATATTCTGGAATCTTATTTTAGGCGTTCATTGTGTTGTCAATTCAATTTGGTGACAGTCTACTGTCAAAGTTAAAGTCTAATTTTCGAGGGAAAAAATCGAAAAAGATAAGAAACCGAGGATCACCACCATGTATGAGAACGAGAGTGGGCGTAATGCAGGGGCGGCTGGCCCTTAAGTTCTGCAGAGCTGCAGAACTGCCAAAACTTTTGTCTTAACAGAAAAAAGCAGTAGTAATTTGATCATTATTTATTTTCCATGTTATCACTCAAATAGAAACAATACCGGCAACGCTGCCCCCGCAAGACACGGCGTCGAGTCTGTTTTGTACTGAGAAAGCATTATAATCGACCAATTGTGTACTTGTCATTTTCGTCGCGACCGCAGCGTAACATTATTCATGGGCCACTTGAAAAAGGTCTGTGCACTACTTCGACACAAGCCGCACGCGCTTGCGTTTGTCTCTCTCTACAAAATCAAATGCGCGATTTAAGCATAAGCATGTGCTGCAAGTTATACAGATCCGTACAGATCCAATGCGAAGTACCCTCCGCGGTCTGGGGGTACGCTGCCCCCAGCTACCGCAAGCGACTTGCTGCTCTAGAGATGAAGCTACTCCGGATCGCCACCAGTGCACCATCCTACGTAAGAAACTCAACCTTGCGTAGAGACCTGCATTGGGACACCATCCACGAGTACATGAGGAAAAAAGCGGAGAAGACCTTCGAGAAAGCTCAGGACCACCCGAACGAGCAGCTACGATTCCTCATGGACTACGATCCGGACGAGAGGCCTCGCAACCGCAGAACCAGGTACCCCAGACCAAGGTCCCAGTTGGCACCCGCTAACTGGAACCTTGACTAGGAGACTAGGAGAACTCGCGGTTGCTCGCAGAGACTGAAACACATGAGGAGACGTTGTAGCAGACCGCAGGTCACGCACAACACATGGCCTACCGAGACGCTGATGAGTCGGGCCACGCGGAGGTTTAGGGTTTAGTGGGTATTAGGTGATCTCCTCAAGACCCTGGAGTCCCACACACGCCGTAGCTCGGGCTATGGTATGGTGCGTAAATGCATTCCCCCCTCACCAAAAAAAAAAAAAAAAACAGATCCGTACAGATCCAATGCGAAGTACGACGTCTGATTGGTCGGTCGGTGCTCGGTCCTCGGCGGTATTGGCATATTGGTCTTGTCGCGTGACGTGGCTTAAAATTTAAATGCAAAAAAATTTTTTATTCAGGTATTTTGGGCCTTATGTTGAGTGACTAGTGACTCACTGACTCACTGTGGCTGTGTCGAAGGGTAGTGCAAGACAATGGATGTGGTTTACAGACTTATCAGCGTGAAACGATTCTGGAAATACACATTTGAAGAAAACATTGAGCTGAAGGTGTTAGTTCGACCGCTGCCGGACATATTTATAGAAACACAGGGCGTTAGTCGGGGCAAGAGCTATACGCGGCATTTCAGCAGGGAGATTTACACCAGAAATGACTGGATTTCTGGGTGCAACAGGAAGAATGCCCTTTTATGCTTTCCTTGCATACTTTTCAGCGGTGACAAAGCTTGGCCTGAGGTAGATGTCACAGATTTAGTGCACCTGAGTGAAAAAATTCAGAAGCGTGAAAACTCTAAAACACATCTTCATAATTCGATGGAATTGGCATTATTAGGGACTGTTAACATCAGAGCTCAGTTAGATTCAGCATATTGGAGAAATATACAACAGCATAATGATACCGTTACAAAAAACAGGAACATTCTATCAAAAATAATCGATTGTATAAAATTTGAATTGGCGCTACGGGGCCACGACGAAACCGAGAGCTTCCAAAACCCGGGAATATTTCGTGGACTGATTAACTTTTCTGCTGAGCTTGATACAACCTAAAGCGAACACATAAAAAATGCTTCAATATTTAAAGGAACTTCGAAAGAAATACAAAACGATCTACTGGATTGTATTCTTGAAGTTTGTCATGAAGAAATAATAAAACAGATTAACAGGGAAAACCCAACTGGTAACAGGTATTTAACGGCCAACCAGTAGAACGTTTTTGGAATTATATGAATCCCGAAAAATGTGACGCTGGTACTCTCACAAGACATATTTTGAGCGTCGTAGATCCATTAATAGGAAATTTCCCTAACAACCTGATTTCACATAGCTATGATGGAGCCGCGGTAATGAGCTGACATAATGCTGGAGTACAGGCAAAAATTAAACAAAGATATCCATTTGCTCACTGTGTGTACTGCTATGCGCATCAGTTAAACCTGATTATGTCTCAAGCTGCTTCCGCAAATGCTCAAGTTCGGGTGTTCTTTAGGGATTTAAAAGATATTCCGGGATTTTTTAATAATCTTTCTCAAAGCGTAGAAGTACTGAACAGAATTGTGGGGAAAAAATTCCCCAAGGAGCAACAACTCGTTGGAATTTTAATATTCGAACAATAAATGTCGTGTTTGAGAACAGATAATCACTCATTGAATGCATGAAAGAAATAGAAGAAAATTCCACTAATGAAACCGTTTGCAAGGCAGCTTGCGGTATTCGCCGTATGTTAAACGAGCCAGCGCAAGTTAAAACGACTATCGATAATTTTGAAAAATGTATTGTCGATATGAGAAATAAAATTGATGACATAATAAATGAAGCCAAAAGTATTTGCACTGAGCTCCAAGGCCACAAAAGGGGACGACGTAATAATAGCAGTCACGATCACCGACTTGCCGCATTAGAAGTATGCCACAATATAGTGAATTCTGCAAATGACAGATTTGGTAGCCGCATCCCTTTTTTTCCCCCGAATACTTTGGAGAATACTGTGGTAAGTTTCCTGATGACAAGTTGGAAACTACCTGCTTGGCTTATCGAATTAGAAAAAAAGTCGTTTAAAGACAGAGTTGTCTGTTATTTATGCACGGAATGATTGCCGAGATTTACATAGAACTCTGTCTCTTTTGAAATTTTTGATACAAAATAGTTTGGAGGAAACACTAAAAGAAACAAAAAAGCTATTAGAAATTATTGTTACAACTCATATGTCAACATCAGAGGCTGAGCGAAATTTCTCAACATTGAAAGACCTTTCTTCGAAATACTATGACCCAGGATCGCCTTACAGCGTTGTCGATGCTGTCCATTGAAAAGGAATTTATTTCGACCATGGAAAATTTCAACGGGAAGGTGATCGACAAATTTGCTGCCAAGAAGGAGCGCAGGATCGAAATGACATATAAAAAATAGGTAAGTTCGGATTTGCACAACACCTGTATTATCTTACCACGAGCCGCCACTGGCGTAGTCGTAGTGCTACGCCCAACAACAGCGAGACTAGTGGTCTGCAACACCCAGACGGACCCAAACAGGAGATGGACGAAATGGTCAAAATGCTCCTTTCTAAAGACGCTCAAATTGAGGAATTAAATAAGAAAAATTAAGAACGAATGACACAAATCATGAAACAAACCAATATAGTGAAGACACTACGAGAACAACAATCTTCATTCATCAACGATCAGAAGAATGACAAGAAAAGAAAGATACAGTCGGAGATGAAATTTTCTTCAGATGATATTTCCGACGACGAATGGACTTCTAATACCAGGACGCTTCAAAATAACAGCGGAGGTGAAGATTATTTTACTGGGGTTCGACCTGGTAGAAGATCGAGAAAAAATAAAATAAGAAGGATGACAACCAAAAAATGTCAAACGATTCTAAAATCGTAAATATACCCGATCCTATAACTCCTCTATCTGATCAACCTTCTACCTCTTCTATTCCTGCCAATCCTTCAAATTTTCATCTTCCTACTAGTTTGAACCAGCCATCGACTTCATTCAATCCAAATCAATTTAAGCATGTTACCCCTGTTATACTGCGTGATCCTTAGAAATGAGCTGATGCTCTCAACCTATTTAAAAATTCTAGTGTCGAATCCCAACGTGCTGTCAATATCGATAGCGGAATAAGAATTGTTCCAAAAACTGTGGATGATTACCAAAGGATCATCCACATTTTCAATAATCATAATTTTCCACATCACACTTTCGCATTGCCAGAAGAAACAAATATCCATGTTATCATACGTGGTGTACCAATTCACTTTTCGGATGACGAAATTA